CCGATATATGGTGTAACCATTCACATAAAACCTCGTCAACAGTACTTTCACTTGGTAGTATTTATTTAGTATAGAGTTTTAACTTTTGAGTCTGTGGATGAAATCCTATGATGTAACCATTCAAATAAATCCTCGTCCACAGTACTTTTGGCGGTTTGTGGATAAAATTCTATGGTGTGACCATTCAAGATGCAAATCAACCTCTTTAGCAGTTCTTTCACATGGTACTATTTATGGCCAACGAGGCAACCTAGCGAAGAAGCATTGTAAGCAAAAAAAAAAACTCGTCTGCGTAACCCTCTATAATTCGCCGTTTTTGACCGTGTTTGGGTGTAAGTAAGACCCATATTTAGGCAGTGACGTCATGGTCTTCAATTTACAACTCGTGGTCCGAAATTGGGTGATCCAGTGTGCAGCTCTTCGTCGTCTGTTTAAGAGGACCTAACAGGTGAGCAAGCTTAAATACGATTTCTAGTTTGAAAGGGCTATTAGTGCTCCCCTGTTTGCTTTAAAATTGCTTTTAAAGCAGCAGCTAATCAAGGAATAGAGTTTTACGCTCAAGCTCATCGTCACAATCAGCTTGTTCGTCGCAGCTCGATTTACATTGCGGAAGCCATGTTCGCTTCTCGACTCAGAACCAGCGTTTTCAGCATTCTCCTTTGTTAACTGAATTTTAAGCGGTAGCTGATCAAGGAATAGGGTTATGTTCTCAAGACTTTTATCAGAACCAGAGTGTTCTTCGCAGTTCGATTTACATTGAGCCAGCCCTCACCTCTTGCGAGGAATGCAACGCATTTGCGGACCTTTTGTTTTTTTAGAATTTATTCATTATGCCTGTCATGAGATTTTTGTCAGCCAGCGTGTTCTTCTTTGCAGCTCGATTTACATTGAAACAGCCCTAAACACCCGAGCGGAATGCAACGAATCTGCAGACCTTTTGTTTTGAAGACTATCATTTTATGCCTTTCGAGACTCTTTGTCCTGTGACACTAACTCATTATCAAGTTTATACCTCTGTTACATTCCGCCCCATTCTTGCACTTTTCGCACATTTTGCTTTACACCAATTTTTGCTGCGGAGCGACCGAAGGGAGCGAGCAGCCACATAATCAGGATTTAAAGGAAATATATAAGGGGAGACGAATTCTCGAATTCATCACTTTTTACCACAATGCATTGCATTTAACCAGAGTGCATTGCGCCACGAACAACTCAAAGAAAAACACGGGGAAGTTCGGTGGGTGAGAGAGTGCATCGTTCGCTGCTTTGTGGCAAATTTTCTACAGCACGGTTAGAGGTCTTACCAAATTTTAAGACACGCAGGAGTCTTTCAGATGAGTACGATGGTTAACTTGGGGACTGGATTTCAATTCAAGAGCCTTTGACTTGTTCAGGTGTTAAACCTGACGAGAAGATGAGCATTTGCTATTCGACTCCGCAACACGGGGGATATACAAATTCCAGCTTGCTAGAAGGTGATGTGAAAGTGAGAAAATGTCATGCAGTGCTATTCTTAAGAAACTGTATGAGCCGAAAATGGATCTGATTTTGACCATTCGCTTCAAAATAACAGCAGAAATCGAGATAACAAAACATATGTTTTGTGTCCTACTTTGCAGACGAGGACGTGTATCGGCGTTTTGAAAAGCATAATTATGTTCTTTCATTCATTCATTGCCATGGAATATGCGTTTACATTGTTTTTTCACTGTAAATAGCTCGCTTAATGCGGCTGGCGATCATCTTGCCGGCGGAAGTTTCATGGAAAAGGAATAAAATGAAGACTTTTCCTAAAAAACACGTGTTCAGCCTCTGTGGTGTAGTGGTTAGGGGTAGTCGCGTCGAGCCGAAGGTGCAGGGTTCGAGTCCTACCGAGTTCTTTATCCCTTCTTTCTTTTTTTTTCCGTTTTTTGTGTTGTTGTTTTCTATAAATATATGGCTAAATAACTGTTACTTAATAAAGTGCAACAAACAGCAAGAAAAGTGTTGTGTTTCCAGAGAAAATATCGTGCACCGTATATTAAATATATGGATAAACAATCTGAATTTCTATTATTTCCTACAATTTACTGTGGGAAAACCAGAGTTATAACCACTTGATCATTTTCTAAACAACGTTCCCACGAGTTCTTTCTATAGACTGATAGTAAATATTCTAGTACTTTCCAACATGTAAATAGGACATTCAATGTGATTTTCGATTCTTTTAAGTCTCACTGCCTAACTAATGCCAGTATCAACAGAATGTGCCGCAGCATTACTATCTTTTAGATACCCTAGTTTAATATGTATTTTACCACGCGAAATACGTTTCTTATCCCTGATGATTCTATTATAGGCGAAAGCTTGAATTTAATTTTTATTTTTAATTTCAACAGTCAAAGGCCACAGTTGAACTTTATTTTACTCTCTAAGGTTTATAGTTTTGATATAATGGAATTTTCCTTGAAAAATAAGTGCTAACTTGCACAAATTTATCAACAAAGCTTCAAGCCATGTTGATAGGATGTGCCAAAGTTATTGTTTCAAAGTTGGGTGCCATCCTTTTCCATAGCAGAATCCACGATAAACCTCTAAAATTATGTAACAAATCGCGAAGATCTCAAAAGACACATTCCACAAAAGATAAACGAATTCGCCTCGTTGGGACTTGCCGGAAGGTACCCCTAGTTTAGTTTATAGTTCTAACTGTTGAGTCTGTGGACGAAACCCTGCGGTGTGACCATTCCAATGAAAACTCTTCAGCACTACTTTCACATACAATTTACTTTTGTCCAATTCTTCCTTTGGTCACTTTTGTTAGTAACAGGGTTAATTGTTAGATGATTATTAGACAGTGTTCTCTTGGAAATATAAAAACCCGCTCGCTGTAGAATTGAAAGGAGACAGACTAAAAACGATTGCTGCTCCTACAAATTTCCAACTTTCGTAACCTTTCCTCAGTTGGATGCGGTGTAGGAAAGAAATAGACGGGCGGGGCGGAGTTTCTCACGTTAGACTACTTATTTGGAAAAAAAACACTAAAAAACAACGAAGTTTGGTCTACTTTCCAGTTAGAGGGTGAATTAATGTAATATCTTTCTTATGTTTTCTAGAGGCCATTTTGTATTATTAACAGTCTGAGTAACTTCATAACTGCGGAGTAGTTTGAACAAGGTAGCTGCAGCTTAAAACAATACCTGGCGCAATCCTCAACCTGATACTTCCCTAGCCTGTCTAGTAAGCGTTTCCGCACAGGTTCATTCAGAAAGCTACGAAAGAAGACGAGCAGGGTCAGGTACAATATAGGATTAAGCGAGTTGACCATTCTGGTCTGTTTGGTGATAGGACTGGGTGTCTGTAATACGCGTCTTAATATAAATACCAGTGATTAATTTGATCAGACGATCACATAGCCGGAGTCCGATTTTTTCCACCACACTATGATCAAGGAGAGAATTGGACGACGCGACGTTGTTTCCAATTAATCATAGTTAAAACACAATTTGACATAATTTTAACTTTCCTTTCAACCACTAGAACTCCCGAGAAACGTCTTTAAGTACTAGTGTACACGATACACTATGTACCAGTGTTTTTTTTTCTCGCTTGCAGCGATTGTGTCTAAAGTGTAATAATCTAAAAACTTACAGCATAAAGAGAGCATGCCCTCAAGTACCGCTACTACTAAACAAAAGGCCTATTTAAGAGGTAGGTTGCAGCTGTTGGAGCGGGAAGCTAAATTCTTTAGCGAGGGGATAGTTATATTTCAAGTTTTCTTTTGACGTTATAGAATCGAAGAAGTTGAGACTGCCTTAGTGACATGAATGTTTTTTTCCTATAAAAAACAGAGTCACAAGGAATCTAATACCTTGGAGGAAAAATCATTTACTGTTTTTCTACTTAGTCTTCGAGATCTCCAGTTTTACTGATCCATGTGTAAACACTCCTTTTTTGAGCCAAGAATGAAAAAAGCAGTGGATGCCATCGCAGTTGTTGCTATCTATTGGCTGCTTGACGATAAGGAGGGCTTTATTAGGCGCAGTACCTTATCAAAAATGCAGAGGCTACAGGATTCTCCACAATTGCAACGAGCCAGCCAGCTCAGAGCCAATTGACGTAAGACGCCATTTATAAGTATACAAAATGAAGCACTTTAACAGATTGACAGAATTTATTAGAAACAATTTTATCTGGAGTTTTGAAGACCTGTAACCCGGAAACTGCAGCTCAAAATTGATTGGAATCGGGTGAGGCAAAAGGGAGTTTGTTACGTTTGTTAAGCACGAAAATTCCACCACAGAAGGAAATTATAAAAGAAGGGGAAAACGAGAGGAGCGAGGGGAAAGGAAAGAACTGGGGAATAGAATGGTAAATTCGAGACTTGCCGAGACCCTGGCTTCAAAGTCCGAGCCCGAGACCTTACTTCTTAAAAATCCGAGCTCGAGACAATTTCGCGCGAGATAATGGTGCAAATAAAGCTAAATAAAACGACCAAAAAGGCTAATGGAAGCTAGCTAGATAAGCCCACCAATATACTGCCTTCAGTTCGATAAGCTGTACCCATAAACTCTGAAAAATTCTTCTCCTGAATACTAAACGGAAAGAAAAAACGACAAATCCGCGACTCCAAGACCCGTCGGCAAAATACAACAACAACAACAACAATAACAAAAATTGGGACTGGCGAGACGCAAAAATCACCCGAAAACGAGACTGGAGACCCATCAAAAGCGAGTTCCGCCGAGATTCCAGATCGGGCCAAAATTTTCCGAGATCCACATTTTTCGAGGTATCATTCTTCACCCCAGAAAGAGGACACGAGAAAGAAAGCATGCAATATTCGCGTTCTTAATTGTTTCTAGTGAGCAGGTATGGATAAAGTAAGGATAACACTTCGCAGTCAATCATTTTACTTGTGCTTTATTTTCTGCTGACCTGATCTGCATTACAATGATATCACGGTCAGTGCAAGGAAAACGTTTCTTGCTCACACTTTGTTTAAACATGCAACAGCATGCTCATCCAGTTGAATTTCTCCAGTAGTACGGGTCAGTCCTCACCAGGCGATGCTCCACATAGTGGCTTTTCGTTGGCAACTTGACAGCCTTTTTTGCTCTGTGCAGAAAAAAAATATATACATATTGTGTTGTAACGCAAGTCCATTTTAAACTTAAAGAGTGCCACCCACGTGAAGTGCTCAAAGCCCAATATAAATGCTCTTGACCGATCGCTGAAAGTTCGGTTTGACCAAAAAGGTCCAAAAATAAACCAGTTACTCGTGTAACCTGTTCCAGGCGTTTATAGATAATGGGTGGAGTGTGCGCTATTTTTCCTGCTCACGTTTGCACCGTCCCCGCAATCTGCAGGGGCACCCAACTACTGTTTTCTGTAAAATGTCTGTTCAGAGAAGCAAATTTTCACTAGAATTTTCTACTGCTTGAATACGGCTAAAAATTTCAAGATGTGTGTTCCATTCAGGTAAAATTTTCGAAGCTTATCTGAAAAATTCCCTGCGATTTTCTGGAGTTTAATTTTTCTTATTTTACCACTTGTGTTAGGCTAATTTTCGTAGAAAAAGGAAACCTAAAATTTTCGGATTCAAAAATTTGATGGAGAGAGGAAAGGGAAAAATTCTCACATTCGGGAAACTTTCAAGTGCATCTAAAATTTTCAGGAAAATATCACTGAAGCCCTTGTAATTTCGAAAAGCCTCAAATTCTCCTAGGATGACCAAACAGATATAAATTTTATAGCGCCGCCTAGAAGGCATTTCTAGAGATCTAAAAGTACTCTGGATAGCCTAAAAGACTTTCAATGCACTTCGGAGGAAACCGTCGTTGGGTGCCCCTGAATTAGACTTTCTCAAAGTCGTTCGCGTGGTTTTCTGGTCTGGTGTGGTAGGACCCGCTTTTCACGATGCAAGGTGATTGGATGGCAAAAGTTCTTTTTCTCATACAAATGCTTCTAACTTTCGGCGGCCGTTGCAATCGCTACTTTTGAGATATACGGCTGAAAATTCTCAGGTTACCTAATTTTAATATGCTCTTTCAGCTTGTGCTAACAAAGTTTTTCAAAAGCGAACTGTTTTCGTGTTTACCGAAAGTTGATCGCGTGATCAAATCATGCAAAGAGCCTATTATTCCCGAAATTCGAGGTAAATCAAGAAACCGTCTGGAACGTCAACAAATGAGTTTTACTATGGCAAAGTTTGTTTTACATTCTGTTGAACTTAGTTTAGGCCTTTTACTAAAGCCCAAGTGTGACAACGAAAGATAACGTCAGAGCAAGTTTGGATCGTGATCGCGCTTTAGTTTAAAGTGACGTTTTCTCCACCGCCGACGTCGTGGTGTCTTAAACTGTTCTCTAATATTATTACTTCGAGAAAAAAACTTAAAAACATACTTGTATAACGTATGGAACTGACAACGGTGATTTTTCCCATCTTTCAGCGAGAGGAACATGGTAACATCCCCTTTCAATATCCCCTCGCTCCCAGTCATTTTTTGGACGGACCAATTAGTTGTCTTCTTCTGCATCACTGGTCCATTAGCAGGAAAGTTGGTTCAAAGTAAACAACTTTCAAGATGCTACATAAATTTTACGCATGAACTCACCTGTCAAATTTTAACCAATCAGAGCATAAAAATTGGACGTGGAGCGTGACCAACACGTGACCATGGTAAGAAAAGGTCTTCCCCGCCTGTCTTTTAAAAAAACTGGCTGAATTTTTGCGTCTGAGGTCAGTTTGAAATCAAAATCGTAGTTTTGCGGTGCGATACTGACATAAACACAACATATTGAATATGAATTAAGTAAACGTGAGCCTGCGATCATTTGAAAACGAGTGAATTGTCCGCGGATAACTTCAAAAATACTCGACCTCAATGGGTCGACACCTGAGCCCGCGATACGGCCAGGTGATACTGGTCAGCGGATACCCTGTTTTGACAGCTGTCAATTGATGACAACATTGATGTGCAATCAGCTTTCCCCTGGACTCCCAAAGTAGCTAGAAAGTGTGAGAGTAAACATTGGTATGCCTGTGGTGCGGACGGACGGTCGGTCGGTCGCTCGGTCACGTGATTACCAAATTTTCTGGGATGGATAGATTTATTTACCCATGGTGCTCCGCAAACGCGCTTCGCGCGCGGAGCTCCGCTAACAAGTTTTTAACTCTATTTAAATTCCTTGAATTTTCACTTAGGACATGAAAACTCATAGGACATTCCACATTAGGCTGATTTAGCAAGAGAGCGGGAACGTCAGTTGACAAGTCAACGGCGCGCGCAAATCAAACAACTGGCTTGGCCAATGGCAGAGCGGTAAATTGGGTACCGGAAGTCGTGTTTAGCCATTTCCGCGCGCTTTCCGGTCGCCAACTGACGTTCCCGTCCTGTCGCTAAATCAGCCTATTATCAGGCTCCTGACATTATCGCGCCAATGAGATAAAAGCCCAGCAGTGTGAGCTGCAACCTCGCTTCAAAAACAGTACTCCATGCCGGTGTTTTCTCGAGTCCGGTCGTAGCTCATTTTCCCAGCTGCTAATTAATTGGGACACCTAAATTGAAATTCAGTTGATCGATCAATTTTAGCAAAACTGATAAGCCTCTATCATGTCAAAAAGGATGAAACCAGGGTCATCCTTTTATGGTAATAATTTGTAAGGCACTATTAGGTGCAAAATTTATGAAAATTTTAAAGGGCCCGAACTTCTCCCCTCTAATGCTAAATTAATTTTTTTTTCAACATTCACCCATTTGTTTTTGCCACCCGCCTTGCTTTTGTCATAGAAAGAAGTCAAATAATGGTGTTCCCGGAAGGAATTCACATCAATGTCTATTACCTTAATACCACTCGCTTCCCGTAGCTTGCGTAAAAGGCGTTTCGAAAGCGTTTGGGGCAGGGGTGGGGAGGGCGCTCAGCGTTCTCACATCCTCTTAGAGGCTTGTAGCTTCCATTTAGGTCGCGGTATGTTTCCTCTGGGTCTTCTGCAGATTTTGTTTGGATACCAACCTTTTCTAAACTAGCGTCTGGGAGGACTCTTTTAGCAAGGCGGCCAGTGTATATAACGCAGTATCACTTCCGTGCACCGATGATGCGGTTAGCAAGGCTGTTGGAGGGTTTAAATTCTTTAGGGAGGGGATGGTTTTATTTTATTTTTTTTATTATTATTGCTATAGAAGAAGTTGAGATTGCCTTTGTGACATGAATGTTTCTTTTCTATATTATATGAGTCAAGAAAAGAGTCACAAGAAATCATTTAACTTGGAAGCTTAAGGGTAAGTAGAAAAAACAGTAAAAACTGATCCTTACGTCAAGAGAAAAAATATAAAGAAATAGATTTTAAAATTTTTTGTTCTTTATATTTTTCTCTCGCTTTGCTTGCCGTAAAGATCATTTTACTGTTTTTCTACTTGGTATTCGGAGGCCTACACACTGATCCGGCTGTCCCACCTCACTAGTCTGTTGCTGTGGTCTTCAGTGTCTTTATAAATATTTTTGGGTAATGTTGTCTCTTTTTTAGAGCTAAGAATAAAAAATAAGCGATAGATGCATCGCTTATTTTTAGCGTTAAGTTTTCTAAACTGCAGGCTACAGGATTCTCTGCAAAGCGCCGTTCTAGCTGAAGTTTATAAAACATAGATCCCGGAAATCGCAGCTACAAGTTGAGGACCAAAACGCGATGAGTTTGGTGTCGTTTCGAATAAGCATGAAAATAAAATACAGAACGAAAAGAAGGGGCCGGGGAAGTGGGAAGATCGAGGGGGTGGAAACAAGGACACGAGAAAAAAGTAATATTCGCGTTTATATTTGTTTCAGTAGCGAGCAGTTATGGATGAGTAAAGATAACACTTCGCAGTAAATCATTTCACTCGTGCTTTATTTTCTGCTGACCTGATCTCCATTATAATGATATCAGGGTCAGTACAAAAGGAAAACGATTCTAGCTCACACGGTGTTTAAACGTGCAACAGCATGCTCATCCAGTTGAACTTCTACAGCAGTAAGGTCAGTCCTCACCAGGCGATGCTCCACATAGTGGCTTTCCGTCGGCAATTCGACAGCCTTCTTTGCTCTGTGCAGAAAAAATATATATTGTGTTGTAACACAATTCCATTTTAAACCTAGAGAATGCCACCCACGTGAAGTACTCAAAGCCTAGGGTGAATACTCTGGAACGATCGTTGAAAGTTGGGTTTGACCAAAATATAAACCAGTTACTCGTGTAACCTGCAGTTCCAGGCGTTTAGATAATCATTTTTTCCTGCTCACTTTTAATTTGCACTGTCCCCAAAATCTGAGGGCCTGGAACGTTGAGAGCGTAACTAGATGTAGTTAACGAAAGTATCAAAAAGCTAAGAAGGTAAACCTGAGTAATGAAACAATGAACGTGAAGTCACTTTTTAAGTGACGTTTGCTCGCCATCGACGTCGTGGTATCTTAAACTGTTCTCTAATATTGTTACTTTGAGAAAGAAACTCAAAAAACATACTTGTATAACGTATGGAACTGGCAACGGTGCTTTTTCCCATCTTTCAGCGAGAGGAACATGGTAACATCTCCCTTCAATATCCCCTCGCTCACAGTCATTTTCTCGACGGAAGGCTCCCAATTAGTTGTTCTCTTTTGCATCACTGGTCCATCAGCAGGAAAATTCATCCCAGTGAAAGTGGACTTGTGGATAAAGCAATTGCGTTTACTGTCAAAGCTATCGAAGTAGAAGGAACTTATGAGACAGTAACAAAATTTATTTTTGTATTATTTTTATTATTATTGTTATCAATATTGTTATATTTCTTATAATTAATTAGTTAATTCTAAATTTTAAGCGTCTTTGATCGTAAAATTAGTAAATTTATACCTTATATCCACATTGGCTATGCAAGATCCGCCATCTTCAAATTGAAGACTTCTTTCCCATGTGTATCCATCAGGAAATGATGGCTTGAAATAGTCAACGATTCCTTTAGGATAATCGGTGAAGGCTCTGTTACCATAGCAAAACACAGATGACAATATGTCAAAGGAGAATGGGAGGGGTCCACCCTTGGTTACTCGCAGTTTTAAAGTCTGTTTTCCTCTACAAAAAATGAAAACAACAAACACAAAAACGAATTAAACAAAATATGAAAAGCAGAGAGGAGGCTTTTGAGAACTAGGCTAAACACTGCCCATTTACCAGTGTAATTTAACTAAATAGCGGGAAAGGTTTAGGACAGCCTGCTATATACTTTAGTTTCATTTCGATTCTCCAATTAATGCTAATTCGCGCCAGTCGACAAGGGTTTATTATTGGCAAGTCCTATTGCGAAAAAATACCTCTTTCATAATACTTAACTACACCCCAAAGCATTTAACACTGTTGAAAAGGTTTATTTTAATGTAATAAGTTTTCATTTGTTTCCTTTTCAGAAAAAAAAACTAATCCGTCCGGAAATAAAGGGTCAGGTCATCACTGTGGCAGAATCACCGTTGAGATAATAGTATCATGATGATATAAATGACGTTTGATCCTGATAGTATCAGCAAAAAATTAACGATCGTCGTCGCCTATTGCTGAATACCAACGTGTTTCATCATATCCGTGTCAAATTTACCATTCAAAGGAAAGTCGTTATTAATTTCTGGTGATGATCAGTAAAACCACTTTCACTTCATAGAACTTTCTATTGCACCAAAGGCCATAATACGTTTTTGGCATGATTGAGTTTTCATAATCTTTCGCTTTATACTCAGTACAGCTGATTTAAAATAATTTGAGAATTTGACTTTGCAACGTAAAAATATTCCCAAGTTGATGACTAGCTTTATTCTCTTAAATGAACTTAATGACTGGTGTAGTTATAATTAAATATCAACCCTGCTCGCGCCTTCAACCAATAGGCGCTAACAGTGATCAGCATCAAATTTCTGCTTGTAATATCAATGCTTTGTAAAACGGACACGGTCATGCGAATTACGGACATGATCATACAAGATGAATTTGCTTGATATTTTATCAATTTCTCCTTACTACTTCTGTTAGAAATGAATAAGGGCAACAAATGAGAATTCAAATTTTGATCTCAGGGCCTAGTAAAGGGTTAATAGAGCCTCCAGTGGCTCGGTGAGTTCGATTCTCACCTGGAGCTCGGAATTGATTCTGAGCTTTCTGGTGTTAGAAATCTCGTTCTCCCGACTGATAACAGTGAAGAGCTATTGCACTTAACATGTACATGACCTAAAGATGAAGGGAGTTGTATTGATCGACTTACTCGTACGGTTTCCCGCTGCCTTCACCCTCGATTGTAAAGAAATGCCCATCGACAGATCCTTCCATGTGGTATGTCATCGCCATGTCATCTTTGATAACCTGCATTAAAAAGTACACCAAAATAAATTCGCATAAATGCAAGTGTGGCTTGCAAAGTTAATGAAAGATTAGGAAGCTTGACACCGTTCAGGTTTGTAAAATTCCAAATATAGGGGGGGCAAAAGCAAAGCTATTCAGAGAGTATCCATCTAGAATGATTTTACTTAAGCCGTGAAATAGATA